CGGGTGCTCTTCAGTGTGCCAGACAGCTCCACATAATGAAGAATCATCTGCAAAATACCTCGCTTCCCGTTACTCAGTCACATTCTCACTGCAATGTGAGATTCGTGTTGTAGGGGGGTCAGGCTAGCATTTTCCAGCCAAGGACTCTGTGTGAACGTGAAGAGACTTACCTGCGCAGGTCATTCCCACCCACATGGTGCTTCTGGTTGGGATGGCAGAAACTGCTTGCAGATTAACTTGCCTATTTGGAGACAGGAGAGCCATTCAAACTGTTTGCTGTGTAAGATGTGAAGGCTTGGGACCAGCAGTTAGCGTAATGGCTATGTCGCTGGACTCCCACGTAGTCGACTGCAGTTCGCGTCCCGGACCCAGTGGCTTAAAACTTATGCTGGGCGCATGTGCGTGCGTTCCCAAGATCCCAAGAGGAGAATGGAGAAGGGATTGCGGTGTGACCATCCCCCCTGGGGATGATTTCTCGCTTTTTGTCTCTCTGTCTCTCTCTGTCTGTCTCGCGAGCACACGCGCCCTATAGCGAAAACCTATCCAAAAAAAAATGTGAAGTCTCACTAATATAGTGCTCCCCTGAACACCCCTCATCTTCTTCCCCCATTCCTCTCCTCTCCCTCCTCCCGTCTTTTCCTAACCCGGCCCACATGGTGGCTTGTGTATAAAATTTGAACGTGTATCTACTGTAATCTGTTACATCCTAACCTGAGGGGTGGGGACTCTTATGACCCAGATATAAAGTGTCACGGGGGAGAGCAAGGACAATGTCTTCTGTAAATGCAAGAAACGGCGTGAGACTCCATAGCACCTGTGTGCTGATCGTCATCTGTGTCTGTTCATTAGGAGAGAAACCCTTCATCTGTGAAATCTGTGGCAAGAGCTTCACCAGCCGCCCCAACATGAAGAGGCACCGCAGGACTCACACAGGCGAGAAGCCCTACCCCTGCGACGTGTGTGGTCAGCGGTTCCGCTTCTCTAACATGCTGAAGGCCCACAAGGAGAAGTGCTTTCGGGTGACCAGCCCCGTGAACGTGCCACCTGCTGTCCAGATCCCACTCACGACTTCCCCAGCCACCCCGGTCCCTTCCGTGGTGAACACACCCACAACCCCAGCCCCTCCGATCAGTATGAATCCTGTAAGCACTCTTCCCCCGCGGCCCATCCCCCACCCCTTCTCGCACCTTCACATCCACCCGCACCCTCACCCCCCACACCACCTTCCTATCCCGCCCGTGCCTCACCTGCCCCCACCTCCAGCTCTCTTTAAGAGTGAGCCTTTAAACCACAGAGGCCAGAGTGAGGACAGCTTCCTGCGGCACCTGGCAGAGAAGAACACTTCAGCGCAGCACCACTAACACCGTCTCCTCAGTGTGTTCCCAGGTGTGGCTGCAGACAGGGAGGTGGTGAGCACCCCAGTTCTCTGAGCTCCCTGCAGTTCTCGGGCTCCCCCCGGAGTTTCCTCCCTGCCTCACTGGGAGAGTCCACCCATCCCAGGGGGTGGCCAGGAAGACTACCTTGAGCTCACAGTGGGAACTGTCAGCTAAACCGGAGAGCCGCCGAACTGAAGCCTAATTGGCTTCCATTTTCTGGTGACTTTTATAAATTTCAAATACTCAGACTTGTGGAATTTTATAATTTCATATCAGCTGATGAGGTATGCTTGCTTTTATATCCCGGACTTCCCCTCAAAGAGGGGCTAGACCTGGTTTCCTTTGTACTAATCGGGAAGGCTGTGAGATTAATCCAGAGCATTAATTGTATCACTGTGTATCATAATGAATTCTTTTCAGCTTTTTGGTGCTGGCTACAGAGTTGAGCTGGCCATGTTTCACAGTATATCAAGCATTACAGAGAAAGATGGAAACTTTCTTCCTTGTGTAGCTCTCCTAACGCATTCTTTATTTTACTACAGAAATTATTTTAGAGTTTTTGTATAGACTTCTTTAGTAGTCTGTTTCTAAAATGAAATGTATTTCAATAAGCGGTGTAATTTTTTCAGTGTAGCTGAACCTATGTTGTAAAATAGAAATTTTTATAATCATCAAAATGTGATTCTTAAAGATGCATATAACTTCTATAATTCAAAGTTATTCTTACATCCGTACAACTCAAAGGTGCTTCAGAGACCAGATGTATCTGAGAGGGTGTCCAGACCAGGTCACTTCAGAAACGTGCTTTTGCTTTCACAATCTGGTGTGAGTACGTGGTAGTGTTTTACTCTCTGCCAAACACGCAAGTGTCTGTCAGGCTTTCACTGACTCGCTCCTGCCTCCCACATCCCGCTGGGCTCAGCTGGTGCAGTGGATAAAATGATTTGTGGGGGACGGGCCTTTTCCAGGGAAGTCTCCTGACGCTGCCATGTTTTAAAAACCAGAGTAAAGCTGTCACCACCAGTAGAGGAAGTAGCGGAGATTGCTTCGTTTCAGGCCTGTTTCTCACTTCCCTTTGAAACTATGTTCATGTTTAACTTTTATGAGATGACAAGTTGAAGTCTCTCATTTTGAGGTTGCTTTATTTTTCTAAAGTTGTTTTGAGAAGATAAAATAGCAAACTAAAATCACACAAGTAACACTGCTGAGAGTGGCGAAGAAATTCAGCTAAGACAAATTGGTTCTAAGTTTAAAAACATCTGTTTCATAGAGAGTGCAGATATTTCTGTAACTTTGGGCTGTTTTAACACAGTTTGACTTGTAGTGAGGGAAAACACTTGGGATTTGCTGCCCTGTCCTCTGCGAATAATGATGTGACGCCAGCCTTCGTAGGTGCTAAAGAGAGCACACTCCTGATACATTTAGGCAAGTTAATGGGTCAGGTTTGGGGACCTTCAGAGGAGCCTGGTCTAGCAGGAGCTGATGGTAGGAAAGGCCGAACAGAAACCTTCACATGTTGGTTACATTTAACTGATCAGATTTCTTTTTTTTTTTTTTTGTTCTTGTTTTGTTTTGTCTTTCAAATTTCTCCAGACTCAGTGTAGCTAAGGATTTTGGATTTCTTCATCTCAGAGTTCTAAGGCTGGGTCACCCACTGCCCCCAACCGTCTCCGTTTTTGAATCTTGAATTTCTTTCATTTTCCTTTTCTCGGGCTTTTACATCATTACCTGAGTTAGAACCCTTTTATTTATTTGTTTTAATATTAAATGTGCAGATATGTTTCAAGCACTTTTCTGGCTGGCTAGCTCTATGATAAGAAAAAATGGAATTCTTTCAACATAGGTTAAGTCCCTACTTTAAAAACACCCCATTCTCTGTTATCTTTTCTGGTTTAATGTTTCCGATTGTTCTCCTGACTTGCCTTTGCCTTTGATAATGAACATAGGAAATGTTTGAAATGAGGCAGAAAAGTATCTCAAGAGATACTTTCCTTCCTTATTTTTGATGTAAGTTTTAAAAAGTAGGATTTTTAACCTTTGTATACATTTTGGGGCATCCAGGTACCCAAGCCAATAAGGAAAATTAATTTGCTGCTTATGATTGTAATGTCATCATGCTGTCTCCCTGACCCCCACAATCTCTTTAGCATTCCATTCCAAGTTTGTAAATCTATACTTTCACGTAGACATATCATTACTTCGTGGTCAAGCCTATAATACTACAATGTTTTGTTTTGTTTTGTTTTGTTTAAGATGTAAACTACAGCTTAGTTCATTGGTTATACCTTATTTTGTTCTAAATAAATTGACAGTATTGGGCAGCAATCCTGAATGTTAGACTTGAGACCGTTGAGTCAACCATGTCATAAGGTGTACTATAGTTATACACTGGAAAATTCAGGTAGTCATCTGTGATTTTTTTCATCCAAGTAACTATAGCCATAAGGAAATATCTGCTAGACAGGAAAACCATTAAGCAAATAATCACCGCCATCCTTAACAAAAGCAAAAAAGGATTACTTTTTAAAATTAATTTTAAATATCACATAGTACATTTCTTAGTGAAATGTATTGTGGAACAATATAAAACTCCCAAATTTGTTTCCTGGATAAGTATACCTTCTCTGACTTGGGATTTGTGGTCTTCAGGAAAACTGCTCAGAATATAATTACTCCTCCTCGGTGTGATATTACATACGAGTAATGACACAACATTAATGCTTCTGAATATGAGAACTGCAGGAGCAAGCCTTAAACGTATGCGTGCATCAGGTTTAACATGCTTAAGACTCAAAACTCAGGGTTGAAAATTTGGTTGGCGTTCTCTACTAAGATGAGATTTGTACTACCTGGTGTATTTTCTCCCACATATGCTACAGCACCCCATGAATTCTTCAAGAAGTTGTTACCTACATGTTATTTGTGTGCGTGTGTGTGTGGAGGAGTTTGAGTTCTTAGTCCCTACCTTATTTATACCTGTTAAAGACAAAGGGCCCGTTTCAGCATTATATAGATATCAAATCGTCTCTCACTACTTAATTTTCCTGTCTTCGAAGGCTTTCGCCTTTGCTAGGGTTAAAACTTATTTGACTTTTTTGATTGGCATTGCATTTTGGGTTTTTGTCTTTCTAGTCTTGTCTCAGACATTTATCATTCAAATATAAACTCTAGCCTTCGTCAAGGGCTGCTGCATACTCAAATTGGGTTAAGTAGGCTCATACACAATTAAATTTTTAAATTCGAATGAAGAAGAGTACTTTCAGGGCACATGGCTTCGTTCCCACGTAAACGTGTGATCTGATCCTCACTTTTGGCAAGCAGGGGAGGCCTCCACATGAACATCCACTGTAGTTCAAAGTAAGCTCCGGACACTTTTATAGTCTGTCATTTGCATTAGCCACTCTAAGTGACGGGTGCTCGGTGCTAGTGGGTAGTACCATAGTGGTGCCATCTTTCTAAAAGCCGCCTTTGTTGAAGGTACCTTTTTATTGTGGCGAGAGCACTCCCTGTAATTTGATCGCCCCCAGTATACTAGCTGAAGGCAAATGTGCTCTGAAGAGATGCTTGTGAACTTCGAACTGATTACTGCTTGAAATTATTTTCAGTTTTTATGTTTGTTGAATGGATATGTGTATTTCTTTCATTTTGATTTCACTGGAAGTTTTACATTTTGAGAAGCCGAAGCAGAGATAAAAACCCATTGGATATATACATATATACACATACATATATGTATACGTATATACATATATTTACCCCATCTTGAAGATTTTGGCCAGTAAAACACAGAATAGTAGATGGGTTTTAATGGAAAAAAAAGAAAGAGGAAAAAAAAAAAATACCTAAAAAAAAAAAAAAAAAAAAAGTTAGAGAAACCCTTGTGTCTGAGCTACTGTATAGAAAAACCCACATTTTTATTGCATCGCTGCCGCATGGTGACTATCTCGATGCTGTCCTAGACTGTATGGGAAGCATGTAATAAAGAGGGGACAAGTTTCATTTAAGAATTTCATCAGCTAACTACCTTTTCTTTCTTTTTTCTTTTTTTTTTTTTTTTAAGAGATTTTTGCTATAGAGTGCATATACTCACTGGAGAGACAGAAAGTGAGAAATCACCCCTTAGGGGTCATGGCCATACTGTAATCCCTTCTCCTCCGTTCTCCTTTCGGGATGTTGGGCACACACGCACACGCACCTGGCATGAGTTTCAAGCCACCGGGTCTGGGCCACAAACCGCAGTCCACTGCATGGGAATCCAGCAGTGTAACCATTACACCATCTGCTGGTCCCATTAACTTTCTTTTTTTTTTTTTTAAGTAGTCAACTCACTTGGAATTTTTCAGACTATAGAACTGAGCAAATAAATATTGGATTTTAATTTTCCTCTGCCTAAACCAATATAGGAAATGTTCCTCAAGATCATTTTCAGGAATGAAAGGTCATAAGCCATTTGAAATTACGGGATTTATTATGCAATAACAGCACCCTAGCTCACCTGCTTCTGTCATCTGTAGCATTGATAATAAATAACGATGACCTTCCAACCCTGGACACTACCTCGATAAAGCAGACCAGAGATCCTCTCTACACTTTCTATGAAAGCCATAACGCCATCAATATACCCACTTTCATAGCTCTATACTTTTATACTGTCTAGACTTTTTTATAGACTTTATGATCAGATCTTTTTCTCTTAGAGGATAGGTTTTGCAAGACTCAAAGGAAAGTCAAACTCTGTGGTTGTCCCTCCTTTGAAGCTTTAGCTTCAGCAGATTTGTCTAAAGAACCAATAACCATTTATCAGATTTTTCATTGAAGTCAAAACCACTTTGCAGAGTTGCATATCTGAAAAATAAAGTTTTCTTTCTTGTTCCCTGAGTAGATACTATATTGGTGTAAGAAACTGCTTATAAAGTGGATTTCTTTCTACCTTGTTACTCTGTAGTACTCAGTAATATGTGTGTTGTGACAAATTTCCCGGTGTGGTTTCTATTTCTTGATAAGTAAATGTAACCTTTCTCCAATCCTCTGTTCTCTCACTGCAGCTTCGGTCTCTCACTCTGTTCTTGAGTGCCTTTGAAAAAGCCAGCATCCTGGAACATCCTTTTCCTGGTCTGAATCCTACCTCTGATCATTTCATTTTCCATGAGTGTTGGAATTCACCCTAATTCCAACGGTTTTAACTCTAAAAACGAGCTGAAACCTTGGGTGGGAATTTTGCACTTATTTCTGTTCCTTCCTTACAGTTTATTTCTTCACATATTACATCGCTAATGTGGAAAGATGTTGTCCTCATCTTCTCTTTCACTAGAAGCTAAACGTTCCTTTCAAAGCAAAGACCGCTGAGTAACCTTCTGAGACCTTTTCCTCACCTGAAGTCTTCCGTACAGCCTCCTCTTTCTGATCAAGGGCTTCTGAACGCCGCCGATGCATCCCTGCTCCTTCCTGCCCTCCCTCTTCATGCACGTTTCACAAGGTGCTACCAACCATTTTATTTTAGTCAAATTGATGTAAAATTGCTATCTGGGTTTGTCAGAAGTCCTTTAGTGACTCCTGATCTGCTTCTCTCATCCCCCTGTCCCTCAAAAACCTCCATTGGCTTTACTTTCTAGTTCTCTCATCTGACCCATCCTGGAAGTATGATTGACACATAGTATATGCAGGATGTAACAGAAAGGAGGTTGCAGTGCACTCTCCACATGTGAGCATCTCAGATAAAACAGCGCAGCGTTCGGCTAGTCTCTTACAGCCCAGACCAAGAACTTGCTCCTTTTCAGCACTCCTCCAAAACCGAAAACAAACTCTTCAAAATAAGGAAATCAGCTGCATTTGTTTTAGGTGAATGAAAGCTATTGAGAATTTGACCTCAGTTAGAATCTTTCTATTTAAAAATCCCATGCCCCTTTCCCTAAAGTTAATAGTACTCAGGTTTTCGAGACTAATAGCCACGTGATAGTGTGAGTCTAAGAATGCGACCTATAATAAATTCTTAACCCTTTTTGTCTGGCGACAGACAGTGTGTTGTTAGTGAGACAGGGCAAAATTGTGAGAATTGGTTGCGTCTCACAGTGAGCAAATCCAAAACATTCGAAGGCTCTGCTCTTTGGAAGATGAGTTTACAAAATGCAAAAAGGAGATTTCTGTGTTACAGAAATCAGTAACAAGGTTCCTTCTGGTTGTGTTAAATGCTTTTTGCTTGGATGCTCCCCATTATTGACCTAGGTGTTTGTCTCTTGGGTAGTAATTTGCTACCCAAGGTATCTAGTTTAAAATTTGTGGCTTTTCTTCTCAGAGTCGCAGGTCATAAGACAATGGAGAGCCACACTCGCTTGTCATTTGGAGGGGCCACATCCTTTGAGAACAGACTTGGCTTGCTTTATATCTTCGGTAGGAAACATTTGGCGCAAGTATCAAAGGAAATGCTTTTCCCTGAGAAGTGTCCCCACAGCTTTCTAGTTCTAGGTTATTGTCACACTGCTTTAGCTTCTCTGGTGAGATCAGGGGTATTACAAATTATCTAACGATGTTTGGGGGGATAGGTAGGAATTGGGATGGGGCAAGGAGAGATGGGAGCTGAATTTCGCTGAACTTCAGAAGGAAATCTGATATTTGCCCTGGCTCGAGTTGATCAGCTAAATGGCTTGTCCCTGTACCGGATGGACCACAGAAGGAGCCCTTTCTGCGCAGCCAGCTCCTCGGAATGGGCACAGCTTCCTCCCTACCTGTCTTTTACAGGTGAGAAGGGACCATGTGGCCAAAAGGACAGAGCCTCCTACCTTCACTCTGCATGGAACTCCAGACTGTGTCTCAAGGCATTTGAAAGTTAGTGGGAAGAATTTCATTCTCCTAAAACTCCTAACCCTCCTAGAAATACCTCTTTATGCTTGACTATTCAACTCCATTAGGTTAAAAACAACAACAACATAGTATGACCTAATTTTGGTGTTTATTTCTTGAGTTGTATCCCCAAGGGTATGTATGTAGCCTCTGAAAATTGGGTGAATTCTGCTTGATCTAACATTAGTTTGAATACGCATTTTACTCATTTCTTGTATTCATCTCTTGACAAGGGCTGTGATTCTATTTCATCAGCAGTACCGCCTTTGTCCACAAGGGAGCGATGGAGTGCTTTAGCCGCTCTCTTCTCAACCTGCTGAAGAAAGATCTTGCTTTAAGTTTCTTCCAGAATATCCTCTCTTGGCTCTCAATGCTTATTTATAAACCTTGATTATTTAAGATGTTTTCCCTTATTGCTGAGTTCAGCAGTTGTTCAGCCCTCACGATGTAAGCTAAGATTGATGTATGCGTCTGGGGTCCTTGTGGGTCAGGCATCTTCATTCAGTCTTTTTTTTTTTTTAAACATCATTGAACTAAGATAGAAAGCGAGGACCTTCCCATGGGGGACTCCATTGTGCACTAAATGAAGAGCTGGGGGAGGGGGCGTGATTTCCTCATTTGTTTCTCCCAAATCCGACTGCCAGCCTGGGCCTCCTCCCATCTCTGAGGGCCAGGGCAGAAGGGGAACTTCGGAGTGTGAGTGAGTGGGGAGGCCCTTCTCCCTTCTCTGCTCCAGTGGGCAGTGAGTCCTCAGGGCAGACTCCGCCTCAGTCCGGGTGCTCTCCTGCCGCAGGCACCCTTCTCAGTCCGTTCCTTGTCTCAGGACTCCGAAAGCCCTCCTGAGCTGTCTGAGTTTCGTGTGTGCTCATTGCCTCATCTTCCTTATCACTGCAGGTCAGTAATCAGCTACAGGGAAGCCCCCCACTCCCTGCGGCCCCCTGTAGAGCCAGGAGGTGTTTACACCTGGAATGGCCTTAGCTGGAGTCGGCCTGGGCCCATTTCTCCCAGCCACGCCTGAGTCTGAGCAATATTAGACACGGATCGTAGGTTCTCCCTGTAACTCCAGCACTTGACAGTAAACAACACCGAAGCTGTGATTGGATGAGGTAGTAGGTGGCCAGGCCCAACTTGTTTGTTTTTATTCTCATTTTCCCCAACAGTACTGAAATCACTTGCACTTTTCTTCATTACTTAAAGGAAAATTCAGTTTGCTTGCCAGGAGTTGTTTAGCGTTAGGTTTACAAAGCTTGTTGTTGAATGTTGAATATTTGTCCAAAGGAGTTTGACAAAATAGAAGCTGCTTGGTCCCTGTTCTGCCTACTAGGTCATCAGGACTGAGGCCGTGTGGCTGGGGTACTGATGTCAGGTCCAGAATGGGGCCATGCCCCCCTCCTACCTCTCTGCAGAGACGCAATGGAAGGTCAAGCTGGACTCAGTGTGGGGCAGGTGTCTGCAGGTGTGGGCAGGTATGCTGCAAAGACGTTTCGAGGAGTCTTTCAGTTGGGGAGGTGACAGGTAGGTAGGACAGGAACTCTTATGACGGGAAAGAAACCGGGAGAGGAAGGCTGCTTGGCCCCAGGGAACTGCAGTGAGGTGGGACAGAGCTCCGCTCAGATCTCCAGACCAGCCCACACTGCCTGGCTTCCCTGAGTCATCTTTTTTTCTAGCATCCTGTCAAATCCCTCAGTGTACTGGTTTTCCCCCTTGTGTTAACTATACCCATATTATTTTTTTAGCAATTGAAATGCACTTTTTTATTTCTACTCAATCATGATTTAAGTATGAAAAAATTATAGATTGTTAAAACTACTTTTTTGTGTATTTTTAACCACTCAATGTAGCATTGTATATTTTATTCTTGTGAGACTCTGGTACAAGATGTGCCGCTTAATGATTTTTCCGAGATGCTGGGCCTTTGGATGTGTACGGTAACCAACTTAATGCTAATGTTCAAAGTAAAAAAGAAAAAAAAAAAAAAGGAGCCATATCCCTTGTGTGCCTTTCTTCGCTTCGTTTCTCCCTCACCCTCGTTGACAACATTTCGAGGTCCCCGGGCTTAATGAATTGAACAATCCTGCAATTCTCATCTGCTACTACCGGTCTCTAGCAGTAGGCCGCCCCCAGGCCCCAAAGCCCGTCCCACTCTATGCGCAGCCCTCTATGCGCAGCATGCTTTCAAGGCTGCTGCTCTGTTGGGTGGAGAGGTTCCTCGCAGTGTTGCCTGGCTTGGCGCCGACTGGTCTCACTCCTCCGTCCAGC